AGCTTTCTAGTTTACTCGGAGTTATTCTAGATCATTCTAGAATTTTCTAAATCACTCTCATTCGATTAAAATTTAAACGTAGATTTTAGAACTCCCCAGATCTTTCTAGAATTTTCAAGAACATTCTCATTCGATCAGAATCCAAACGTAGATTTTTAAACTTCCCAGATCATTTTAGAATTTTCTAGAACATTCTCATTCGATCAGAATTTGAACGTAGATTTTAATTCTAAAATCTATATATTAGGGTGTGCCAAAAAAATCAACTAATTTTTTTTTTCAAAAAGTTCTTGAAATTTCGTTAGAAGATACCCCGCATGGAAAAGTATATATGCGAAAAATATATGCAAATATATATTTTCACATAAATTTTTTTGCGCTAAATATATGTCCGCATATATGTTCTCATATATGCGTAGATATATGTTCACATATATGCGTGCATATATGTTCGGATATATGTGCGCATATAAGTGTCTAGAGATACACAGAAAAAAATGTAACTTGAATCAAGAAAATAATTTTGAAAAATTTAACTTTTTTGATTTGAGTAAAAAAATTCTCAAACTTAGAAATTTTTTTTCCAATGCATGCTTACATATATGTCTACATATATGTAAGCATGTATCTCTGCATATATGTCAGCATCTATGTGAAAAATATATGTTGACATATTTTTTTTTGCGTAAATATATGCGGCATATATATTATATATGCGACATATATTTTTGACATATATATTTCTCCATGCGGGACCACAATTAAAATTCAGTTAAAATTTGAGCCCTTAATATCAATATTTATTATTATTATTATTATTATTATTATTATTATTATTATTATTATTATTATTATTATTATTTCTTTATTCATCGACCAGGAAGTCGAAACTTCTTGCGGCCGTCCATTAATACAAAATAATATATGGTATAGCATTTTAGAAAAATAATAAAAATGAAAAGTATATGTAAAAATAAAATTTAAATATTAAATATGTTAATAAAGTCCAAATTATATTCGAACAATTCAATCAACGTAGATCACTCAACCTCCTTGCAAATTGCATGTAACAAAAATTCAACTAATAATGTATTGTAATTTAATAATCTAATAATATAATGTGATAGACAAGATTTCAAACTATAGTAAAATGTCAAATCAACTTAGATATCAAATATCAATTGCACTATGGTTTATGACCTATCCACACTCAAAAAGTAATTATAGGTTGATCTGCGAAATTCCACAAACGTTAGCGCCGACGTACATTGCACTAGTAGCCCGTTCCAAACTCTGATCGCAGAGACAATAAACGATTTGTCATATTTCGTCATGCGACAGCTAGGTAGTACTAAGTAGTCCAGTCGAACATCACCTCTACGAAATCGTGGTTCTAGAATACATAAGTTCTGCCGGATATTGCGAACTGAATTTTTCGATTTTTCATTTAATTAACACGGAAAAAAAATTTCTAGAAAGTTTGGATTTTTATTTCTCTTGATTGAATCAACTATATCGAAGGAACAATCAATATTCTTGCAGGAAATTGAACACTAAATAAAAAAGGTCTCTTATCATTTTTTGATAAATTCGATTCTCCAAAAGTTATTCAAGGTTAAAGTTGAGCTTATTGCAAATTTGTGGATTATTTCACTTTTACGGTAAATATATTACACCGGCACACAAAAAAAAAAGTTGTTTGTACTTTGACCGGACCCACCTACCGACATGTTTTTCGACCCACTGAATCCAAATTTGGAGTCCATTTGGCCCAGCCACCGTCCAGATTTGAGTAAAATTCAAAAAACCCAAAAAAAGGCAAACAATTGCAGTCACAATGATGAAAAAATTTGTGTGGACCCGGAGTAAGTATGATTTTTATGTACTTCAATTCACTGGATCTGAATCTAAACGTTAATTAGCCCGTTGAGCCGTTAAAATTTTAAAAAATTTGCGAAAAACCGAAAAAAATTTCAATACATCATGAAAAATCGAAATTATCGATGAAAAAAATTTTTTGGATTCAGATTGAGTATGAATTAGAATCTGAAGTTTTTTTTACTCTAGTAACGTTTCAAAATTTTAAAAAATCAAAAAAAAATCGGGAAAATTGCAATTATAAATTTGAGAAATAATTTATTAAACACGATTGTTAAAGACTTGGGTGTATTTTCATGGATGGAATATGATCTGAGAATTAAAAAATTGACAAAGTCTTAAAATCTCTAGAAAATAGCATGTAAGGGAAGGTACAAAACCATATTTTCGAATTCCAGACAGTCGTTCGTTTGTAACGAACTCTTTCATCTTCAAATGACCTACGCAGTGTGTTCTTTTTACGTTTTCTGTATTCTTCTGGTACTTCTCTTATTAGCTTCCAGCGAAAATCTGTCAGTGGTCGACGTGAGAATCCATGAAGTGTAGTTTGAGGTTCATAAAGCGACCTAAATTTTTGTAATTTATCACTAATTCTTCTACTAACGTCCTGTAGTTTTCGCATTTTTTTATTTCCTAAAAAGTTTTGAGACACATTTATGAAACTAATCCAAGCTATTCTCTCCGTCTTGTTTATTTTTCCTATAAAATTTGCATCCTGAAAAAGAGTTCGAATCTTGGGTCCATTAAAAATTCCTTACGATCGCTCGTGCCTGCAACCAGGACACCTCCTACTGGAGAGTATTATTACAAGAAGTAATTCCCATTCGTAATAAGACGGGATAATTAACATTTAGATTCAGATTTTACTCAAATCTAGACGGTGACTAGGCCAAACGGACTCCAAATTTGGATTCAGCGGGTCGAAAAACATGTCGGTAGATGGATCCGGTCAAAAGTACAAACAACTTTTTTTTTGTGTGCCGGTGTAATATATTTACCGTAAAAGTGAAATAATCCACAAATTTGCAATAAGCTCAACTTTAACCTTGAACAACTTTTGGAGGATTGAATTTATCAAAAAATGATGAGACCTTTTTTATTTAGCGTTCAATTTTCTGCATGAATATTGATTGTTTGTTCGATGGAGTTGGTACAATGAAGAGAAATAAAAATCCAAACTTGCTAGAAATTTTTTTTCCGTGTTAATTAAATGAAAAATCAAAAAATTCAATTCATGACCTCTAAATATTGATATTAAGGGTTCAAATTTTAACTGAATTTTCATTGTGGTATCTTCTAACGAAATTTCAAGAACTTTTTGAAAAAAAAAATTAGGACGATGGTTGACCCTAAAGGTCATCCCTGCAACTTCCCGCTCATTTAGTACTTAAGCGCTCAAAATTACACATTACGTTTTTGAGCTCTTCGAGCTCAAAAATATGATTTTTGTATCATTTTGAGCTCTTCGAGCTCAAAACTCTAATAGCAGTTTAATAAAAAACAATTTTTTGAATTTTCAAATGGCAATAACTTTTGAATGAATGAACCGATTTTCATGTCGTTGGCGGCATTCGACGCAATTTTTAAAGCCCTATAAAAAAATTTCAAGTTTAAGTCGATTGAGCCAGGAATTTCGAAGTAATTCCGAAAAAACACTTTTTTCGGTTTTCTTTCGACAACGATAACTCACGAACGAATCAACCGATTTGGACCGGGCTTGCGGTGATCGAAGTAGTTTTTTGATCATAAGAGTTGATTAGACTTTGGAATTGATCGGTAGAGCCATTTAAAAGTAATTCCAAAAAAACCACTTTTGAAAAAAATTTTTTGTGTAGTTTTTTCGAGATTTCTCAAAATCTACCGGTTCGAATCGGTCCAAATGGTATTCAGAATTTAAGTTTGATCTAGCCCTTTCAAATGTACATACATACATACAGACATACTGACATCATCGCGAAAATATTCAGGGAAGGTTCCTAGGACCTCAAAACGTCAAGATCTGATGAGAACTCGATTTTCGAAAAACGGGGTAAAACCAATAACTTCCCGATTTTTAAAAATTTCCATTTTTCTTAGCGGGAAGTTAAAAATTAGTTGACTTTTTTGGCACACCCTATATATATATATATATATATATATATATATATATATATATATATATATATAAATATATATATATATGTATATTAGGGTGATCATGTTAGAAATAACGCCTATATTTAGTTCCCTGATTAGCCGCCCTTGAGCGCGCTCAGCGTCTTACCGAGAGCCCCCGACTTCTTGGTCGGGGCACGCTGGTTCATTCTGGAGATTACTTTTGTACGAAGCACCTCGCTTACCTTTTCTCTATAATTATTAATAAATAAGTATTCTTTAAATATAAATACTTGCGTATTATTTATCGATCTAAACCCTAGCCTTCCATCAGGTTATGGTAACAGCAAGATTCCACTGCGCAAATTAAATATTATCTATAAAAATTGTGAAAAGTGAATTATAGTGAACCCGGCAAATTGTGAAGGAGTCGAAGTCCTACGACGATGTCGAACGTGGATAAGGAGAGCGACTTGAGCTTGACACGCAAGTATCTTTTATTTTATGTTAAGAATATGAACAATGACTAAACGAGTGAAAAATTAAAAACGAGGGTTAGATGACAGGAAAAATTAAGTGCTATAAAATATTTATTAAATTGATGGTCATTGTTCGTTTCTTGAAATATAAGCTTATAAAAACGAGAGTAATATTCTAAGTAGACTAGTCGAAATAAAAAAAATGGCGTGACTGTGTAGCGTGGTGTCGTTTTGGCGGGAGACCGAGAGTCCGAGCTCACAAACGAGTGATGACTGCAAAGAGACAGAGACAGACGACGTGTACTAGTGCGAGTGAGACAGAGAATAGTCTCTTTGTTGATCGAAGCAAGTCGAGTGTTATGTTGATTTCTGAGAAGGGGTTGGCCAACCAAATACATTCTCACACTTAAATAAAATAAAAATAAAACGAATTGAGGAACAAAGGATCTCGTCTCGCCTGAACAGCGTCTACGCTATACTAAAAATAAAATAAACGAATGACTATGTGTTTAAATTTTTTTTTATTAATTTTTTTTTTATTTTACACAGTACCAGAAAATGATCATATGAACGAAATGTATGGAAACCTGGTATTCGAGTGCGTCGTAGCTAAACTTCAGAGTGTGTTTAAGCTCGATGAAAATCATCCCAATGAATCAGTGGATGTTAAAATTCAAGGAAACAAGGAAGCAAGTGGGTGCGCACCCTAATTTCTTTTGTTTATCTGTTGCTACTAAGCAAAAATAAATACACCTGCTTAAATTAAAATAGTCTCGAGACAGTACTAATTTTTTAAAGAAATTAGAAAAGACCTATAATATTTCCTTTAATTAAAATTAAAGAAATAATATTTCGTTGAATCACCTGTATTTTGGTCAGTGCCGTGCACGGGCCTATTGTGCAGGGGATCAGGGTTTGGATGTATGATATCTTGTGTTCGGATACATACATGCAGACTCGTCTCAATTCGGTGATGCTTGTGTTCAGCAAACCGGGTTAGAGGCACAGTCCATGGCGTGAGTGAATATTGAAAAATTAATAATCATTCAATTTATTACAGATAAATCATTTCTAACCATTGACGAGTGGAATGCCCTAGTCGAGTGGGTGGGCAACTGGAAGGGTGAAACACCAGTGATGCCTCGGACTTTAAATCAACGAATTTCTGAGGAGATTGACGAGAACGAACTGCTGGGAGGTGACGATGAGATTAAGACGAATGCTAAAGATGATAATACGACAAGTGATAATGAGGAGTGTGAAACGAAACGAGTGATAACGACCCATGCAGTAATTGAAACAACAGGTAAAGGTCTACCTAAAATAACTGATATAAAACCGGTTCAGTTATCGATGGATAAGTTTAAACGAGTCAATCCTCCTAACAAAACCCCTGAGAAAACTGAATCTGACATTCCTAATTTAGATAATTCTAAGGTTGTTCAGACAGAAAAAACTCTGGCAAACGATGTGAGTGGAGACTGGAAGCCAAGCTTTCAAGCTATGAGTAGAATGCTGCAACAGCATACTAAATTGCTCACAACCGCTGTAAACACTATTAAAGGGTTGGAACGAGTGCAGAAGGAGTTTGCGAACGCAAAGAACGAGCAATATTTGGTCCAGGACCAAATAAACGATAGAATGAGTGAAATAGAAAGAAACATGGAACAAATAAAAGACTGTATGCAGGCTCAGGTAAAGAATAACGAGTGTAACTTAAATGCTGATTTAGAAAAACGAGTAACCTATTTAGTACAACGAGAACTTAGTGGCCATAAAAACATTAATGAAAAACGAGAGGACGGTGGGAAAAATAAAATTGTAGATGACGTGAAAGAAGCAATTAAATTAGAAGTAATTACTAGAGACTCGGGTGCACGACGTGACTATAAATTAACAGCTCAAACTAAATTCGAACATTTTTATGATTATCTCTCCTCGGAGTTACGAACGAACGAATTATTGTATGTAATAGATACGAGTGTAAAACCAAGTAGAGTGTTTGATAAAGCAACAACGGACAAACACAAATTTAAAGTACGGGATATTTTGATCAACAGAATTGATCAAAACTATCATTCTAAAATAGTTCATCTTAAATGTCCGGTTGAAATACTAAATATGATTAAAGAGCTAAAAAGATGTGAAACGAATTTAACGACAGTAATGATCAGAAAACAGTTGTATAGTCTTCAATATACACCTGACAAAGAAACGTCATCGGATTTTTGCGAAAGATTCGAAGAGATTATTCGTAACTATGGAAATTTCACGGGCGCGACTGCTCTTTCTGATGAGGAGATACGTGACACTTTCTATAATGCAATTATGGCCACGATTCCGGAAGTACAATCAATAGAATTCGTTTCTAAAAATGCTACAGGCAAAGGTCTAGATTATGAAAGTTTAAAAATGTTTCTGATACAGGCTGAAGCAAATAAGAAGCAGATAAGGAGTGTTGATACGAGAGCGACTTTAATGGCCAAAAAGGACTCGAAAGTTAGGTGTTTCGAATGCGGAGACTATGGTCATCACAGCTATGAGTATCCCCGGAAAGGTTCGGGATTGCAAAAATGCTACGAGTGTAACCAGTTCACTACGCACAAAGCCAAAGATTGTCCCGAACGACTGGAACGACAAAAACGAAATGCATCACGAGGCAATGGGAAAACGAGTGGAACGAACAGGTATGGTTATTTTAAGAATTCACGTGGCTTTAAACAGGCCAATGACAGACGACAGTATCTCAAAAGGAAAAATAGTGACAATTCAGGAAACAGTGAATCAAAGAAACCAAGATTTGGGGCACACAGAGGGCGTGGTGGATTTAAAAATTCCAACCAACATAGACAGAATAAAAACGAAAAAGCCAAAGGAACGGAGTCAGCAAAGGGTGAGTTATTTTTATTTGATGCTAGATTTAATCCAAAAATTTGCCATACACACACTGTAAACGAAGATCAGGTTCGAGTGAAAAGATTAGGTGACGAGCGAGAGAATGAAAACGATCAAGGAAAACTAGTTGCTAAATTTTTGGCAGACTCAGGTGCAACAGAGCACCTTACTAATTCCAAAATTGTTTTCAAAACCGTTGACGAAAGAAATTACGGAACAATAAAATGCGCAAATAATGACCCCTCAGCAGACTTGAAAACGGACGGGTCAGGGGAAATAGAAATAGTTTTAGAAAACAACCAAATTTTGAAAATCGAAAATGTAATTTGTGCTAGGGCTCTTTCAGATAATTTATTGTCATTGAGGAAATTTGCCGAGATGGGTTTAAGCATTTATTTAGATAAAGAGAAAATAGATATTTTTGATCCGGTTTCTAACGAGTCTAAAATTTAATAAATTGCCTTTTAACACGACGCGAAAACGAGCGACGGAACCCTTGCAAGTTATACACTCGGATACAATGGGACCAATAAGTCCATCTACTCATCCAAAGGAATATAGATTCATATCGGTTTTCATAGACGATTTTTCGAGACTTGCAATGGCGTATCCTATGAAAAATAAAAACGACACTGGTTTGTGTTTTGAAGCTTTCGTAAGGAGTGCACGAAACCTATTGGGCCGTGACGCGAAAGTATGCTATCTTCGATCAGATCAAGGTACAGAATTTACGGGTGGTTATACGAGTGAAGTCTTAAACAAACTAGGTGCTGAGTTACAATGTTCAAGCCCTGACACTCCAGAGCACAATGGTGTATCAGAACGCTTTAACTATCCAAAAGAAAGTCAGGTCATACATGTACGACGCGAAATTGCCAGAGAGTATGTGGGACTTAGCCTTAAACGCAGCAGTTTACGCGTATAATAGAACCCCACATAAATCAAATAATATGATAACGCCGATGAGCAAATTTGCTCCTCATCATAACTTTGACATAAACCAACTGAAACGTTTTGGTTGCGTGGCGTACATTAAAGTACAACGGAAAACGGGACCAAAATTCAGAGCTGAAGGACGACGTGTTATTCTTGTAGGTTATACGCCTACAGGATATCAATTCTTAAAACCAGAGGAAGGTAAATATTATGAAAGTCGCGATGTAAGATTTAACGAAAAACTGGTTTACGGTGATAAATGGAAACGATCTGATATAAAAGACTGGCCGGTTGAAGAAAGTAAAATTGATAAAGAAAAATGGTTCGTAGAATTCCGAGATAACAAAAACGAGTGTGAAGAATCATTAAAAACGGAGGGAGAAATTCCTATTAAAAGAAAGAGAGGACGACCGCGTAAACATCCGGTATGTAATCAAAAGAACGAAACGAGTGACGGCATGACGAGTGAAGATACGAAAACGAGCACTTTACAGACTAACGACAGTGAATGCGAAAGCAAAATATTATTAACTACTAGGTTAAATGATAAATATGACCAGATTAAAGACGATGTGGAAGACGAGATGTATTATGCGTTATTAGCTAAAATAAATGAGGATCCAGCCTCTTATGAGGAGGCAATGCAAACCGACGAAGCATATCAGTGGAAACAGGCAATTGAGAACGAACTAAATTCAATGATTAAAAACGATGTGTGGGAAATTGTCGAAAGACCCAAAACGACGTGTAACGGAAAAAGAGCAAATATAATTGATGCGCGATGGGTATTAAAACGAAAAATAGAAAGTAACAACACGTTTAAATTCAAAGCTAGACTAGTTATTCGAGGTTTCAAAGACAGAAATGTCTACGAATTAAAAGAAACATATGCACCGGTATGTCGATTGCCATTGGTGCGTGCGGTATTAGCAATAATAAATAAGTACGATTTGACAGTATACCAGTTAGATGTTAAGACAGCGTTTCTTAACGGAACAATTGACGAAGAGATCTTTATGGAGATTCCCGAAGGAACTCACATAAGCGCAGACGAGAGAAAAAATAAAGTTAGTAAACTTAAGCGAGCGTTGTACGGCTTAAAAATAAGCCCTAAGCGTTGGAACAAAAAATTCACAGAGGTTGCTCTAAATATTGGTTTGAAAAATTGTAACGATGAGCCGTGTTTATTTACTTGGCGTAACGATGAGAAATTTCTGATTTTATTGCTATACGTAGACGATATCTTAATTGCATGTAACGACGAGTACAAACTGAACGATGTGAAAAACAAATTAATGAGTGAATTTAAAATGACTGACTTAGGAGAACCAAAATAATTCTTAGGGATTTCAATTACGAGAGACAAAGAAAAGAAGATATTGAATTTTAGCCAAAAACGATATATTGAGAAAATAATTAACAAATTTGATTTCAGTGAATCTCATCCTCAAAGAACTCCTATGGTAACTACTCAGGTTGCAAATAGAGAAAGGAAACTCAGAGAAGAAGAGTGCAATATTGAGCAATTACGAGCGACTGAAACGAGTGCAAACATACCTTATCGAGAAGCAGTAGGCAGTTTGTTGTACTTAGCAGGAGCAACACGCCCTGATATTTCATATGCAGTGAATGTCTTGAGCAGACATCAGCTGAATCCTACTGAAAACGACTGGAAAATGGTAAAACGAGTGTTTAGATACCTAAAAGGTACTGTAAACTTAAATTTGACGTATTTAGCAAAACAAGATAATTTGCAAGCTTTTTCAGATGCTAGTTTTGCAGACTGTAAAGGTTCTCTAACGACGTGTGGATTCTTAATCCAACTGTTTGGTGACACTATAGCTTGGAGGTCACATAAGCAAAATTATGTTGCCTTGTCAACTTGCCAAACTGAATACGTAGCAATGAGTGAAGCGAGTCAGGAGTTGATAGCCATGAGCAACTCTCTTAAAATTATTTTGAATAAATCATTTTATCCTATGCAGCTCTGGTGCGATAACAAGGCTGCAGAAGCAAGTGCGCAAACGAGTGGTGGTAACAAACTGAGACATATGACAGAGGTAAGAGGGCACTATGTTAAAGAGTGTGTTGAACGTGGTATGGTAAAAAATAAATGGATTGCATCTAAGCATCAGGTAGCTGACTTGTTCACAAAACCTCTACCTTTTGAACTGCACAAACGACTGACAGAAACGATAACGAATGAGACGACTGATAGAGATAATAACGAGTGAAATTATTAATAACAAATTTATAATTAAACATTGTCAAATTACAGGTGATAAATCAGATCAGCAGGGTTGATACGAGTGCCTTACACGAACGAGGGACATGAGGACAGAACGAACTGAAAAACCAAAATAAAAATAATATCCAGTATTAAAGAAATCAAAGAGTGATATAATGTTTCTTATTATGTCAAGTTTCTTTATAATATGATGTAAAACTATGTAATACTAATTATAATTTTAAAAATAAGATAAGTAAACTAAATATAGACGGGAGGGAGTGTTAGAAATAACGCCTATATTTAGTTCCCCGATTAGCCGCCCTTGAGCGCGCTCAGCGTCTTACCGAGAGCCCCCGACTTCTTGGTCGGGGCACGCTGGTTCATTCTGGAGATTACTTTTGTGCGAAGCACCTCGCTTACCTTTTCTCTATAATTATTAATAAATAAGTATTCTTTAAATATAAATACTTGCGTATTATTTATCGATCTAAACCCTAGCCTTCCATCAGATCAAAAAAAAAAAATTTTTTTTTTTTCTTTCAAACAAGCTCAAAAGTTTCGTTTGGGTGTAAAAAATTACTGTGAAAAGATGAGCTCTTAATATTAATATTAAGGTTGTCCTCATCGCATTTTTTTAATTCCCATAAGAATAACATGGGAAAATTTTTTTTTGCTTCTTCTGATTTTTGTACCGTTCAAACGACTGATTGACTTATAAATTGCTGTTCTAATCTTTATAGAGAATTGAACGCTCTACAAAAAAGGTCTGATAACATTTTTTGATTTGTCCACGCGTTCAAAAGTTATTCAAGATCAAAGTTCAATTGTTCAAAAATTTGATCGAATTTTATGAATTACACCAAAACTGTTGGTTTCAGAGTCAAAATAAAAATCAAATTTTTTGTCAAATATAAATTAGACTTTTGATATATGTGGTCATCGGAAAAAATAGATTGAAAAAAATAAATAAATAATAATAATAATAATAATAATAATATTTATTCCATTGCTATAAGATGGAACATAAAGAAATAAATATCTTTAAAAAAATTTTTGTAATTTCAGATACAAATGGTCAATTTTTTCTTTTAAATTTTCAGTCGATGAGCACTATTATTTTTTTGCTCCGTCGATAAAAAAATTATTTCCCAATAGATGGAGCTCAGAGCTTCAGAGCTATGTTATTATTATGATGATGTCCGACAACCTTCAACAAGGAGCTACTGACGAAAAAGGAGCCCAGAATAATGATCGAGACAAGGTTGATAACACGGTGGAGTCAAATAACAAAATTGCGGATAGGTTCAGGTATGGTAGACAAGAAAGAGGTCCTTTCGCTGTATATGTGAGAACAAGTAATGTTCAAGACAAATCTAAACCTATCAAAGTCATCGAAATTGCTCGCAAGCTTACAAACAGCAATATACGCTTTGACAACATTGTCGAGAGCTCCAGATATACTTGGCGTTTGACGTTCAATGCCAGAGAGACGGCCAATGCCTGTCTTTCCAACCTCAACTTGGGGAAAAATGGTTTAGAAGCTTTTGTACCAACTTATCTACGCTTCAAGAAAGGTGTTGTTCGAGACATTCCAGTCGACGTGAGCTTGGAGGAGATTCAGAGATGTATTCAGGAAGAGAACCCAAATGTAACTATCTCCGATATCTATCGGTTGAAAAAGAAAACTGACAAGCCGATGCCAGACAAACGCAAGTGGATAGACTCGCCCACAATTTGTATCACTTTTAAGTCATCTGTATTGCCTCGACATATAAAAATTTGGGGTGTCCCCTTACTTGTTAATGACTACATCGCCCCGATTAGAATCTGCTTCAAATGCGGCAGGTATGGTCATATTAAAGATAAGTGTCAGAATTCAGAAGTGTGTTTGTCATGCAGCCAAAAAGAGTGCCCGGGCCACGATCAGTGCCTAAATGCCAAGAAATGTGTGAACTGCGGTGGAGATCATCACACACTAGATAATAAATGTCCAAGCAGGATTGTTGAACTGGAAATTAAAAAGATAATGGCTAGAGATAATTTGTCGTTCAATGAAGCAAGGAAACTGGTGACTAATTCAAATAAAGAGGATCATATCCAACAAATAAGACCCCGATTTAGAGGAAATCAGGACGACTTCCCTCAATTGCCGAAGAAGGACTCATTGCACAAGAAGATGTCGATAAACACCCCTACCTGGAGTTGACCGAGCTCCAAACCACCTCCTGATCTTTCTCGTGGAGAGGTTAACGTAGCACAGGCTAGTGGACCGGCGAGGATTGGTGAGGCGCTGGAAGAGCTGTTAAGGGCTTTCATGATGTCAACGGATGTGGAGCTGCTGATTAAACATTTGAGGAAAGCGGTGGAACTTCATCTTAAAAATCATGGACAGGCAAAACAAGGGCAGTAAACAAGGTTTTTTGTTAAATATTGTTCAATGGAACGTACGTAGCATTAAGCCCAAACTTAACGAACTTATACATAATTCCAAAGATATTGATATTTTTTTAATTTCAGAGACCTGGCTCAAGAAAAAAGATACTTTGTATGTCAAAGGATTCGACGTTGTAAGGAGTGATAGGCCACGGGGTAATGGAGGAGGAGTAGCGATCTTGGTAAGGAACTCTTTGAGATATGATGTGGTTCGGGATTTGTACAGCTGCAGGGGTAAGATTGAGATTTGCGCTATTAGACTTCTTCTGAATGGTAAACCCTTTACGGTTGCTTCTTGTTATAGACCTCCAAGCACAGCATCTTTTGTTGATGCAAGTGACTGGGCACAATTTCTTGATCAGTTCTCGGACAGCTATTTAATTGGTGGTGACTTTAATGCTCACCATTCATTGTGGGGAGATTGGTCGGATTGTCCTGAGGGGAAGTCTCTCGTGGAGGCTATGGAAATCAGGGATGTTGCGTGTCTTAACGATGGAAATCCTACTTATCTTAGCTCCTCCTCAGGTAGGGAGTCCAATGTAGACTTGACATTTGTTGATAGTTCTTCGGCTTGGCTCTTTGATTGGAAAACAGGGGTAGACTACTGGGGTAGTGATCATATCCCCATTTTTATCAAGTGTAGCGGCCGTCTTCAGGCCGGGTTCGAAAGGAGAAAATCGAATAGGTTGTATAATTCTTCCATAGATTGGTCGGTTTACAGAGATAAAATATATGAAAAGGTCCCAGATTTGATGGAATTGCTAGCTACGGACTGTGACATCCAGTCTAAATACTCCTCATTCACGTCGTCTTTAGAGAGCTGTGTTCAAGTCGCTTGTCCTTTAAAAGCTAGAAAACACGATGTTAAACCCCAGTACTTTAAACCCAAAACTAGAGCCCCTCCGTCTACCTGGTGGAATGAAGAATGTGATAAACTGGTGAGGCTGCGTAAAGCTGCATTGTTAAAGTTTAAATTTAACAGATCGAGTACTAACTTCATCGCTTACAAAAAGGCTCAGGCTGAGGCCTTGGTTGGTTTAAGACGTATTAAGAAGGAGAGTTTTAAACAGTTTTGTGAGAGTTTATCTAAGAATACTAACCCTAAATATCTCTGGAACACCATCAAAGGCTTCTAAAACAGGTGGAACTACAAGGAAAACGCTAATGAATATGACCGAGATAAAATTAAAGCTGTCAAGGATATGATTGGTGAGCTCTGCCCTTCATGGGTGCCAAATAACAGACCATGTCTTGTCTCTGATATCGCGGATCCCTTCCTAGACTCCACTTTTACAAAAGAAGAACTTAGTTTTGCTTTGGCGGATGTGAAGCTCTCATCAAGTCCAGGGCTTGACGGAATTGACTATAAAATGATTGTTCAACTTCCGAATGAGGCTAAGCTGGTGCTGCTCGAGTTGCTTAATCAGATATTTACGTCCCAAGAGTTTCCACATCAATGGAGTAGATATGCTATTTTCTTTATTCCTAAGAACGAGAAGAATAAATTTCGTCCTATTTCCCTCGCTCCATGCTTGGCTAAAGTCATGGAAAAATTACTGAACAATCGTATTAGTTGGTGGCTTGAACACCAAAACATTTTACCTGGCTCTCAGAACGCTTTTCGTAAGGGCAGGTCCTGTGCCGATAATTTGACACTGTTATGTGCGGATGTTCTGAAGTCTTTCAAATCGGGGGAGGCTACGGCTGCTATGTTTTTAGATATTAAAGCTGCTTACGACAATGTTCTACCAGACGTGCTGTTGTTCAAACTTAAAAGATTAGGTTTTCCAATGAACACCCTGGCCTTTGTTTATAACCTAGTCTCCGAAAGAAGCCTACGGTTTTAATTCGGGGAAATTGACGAAACTTATACAGCCTTCAGAGGCTTACCTCAGGGTAGCGTTTTAAGCCCTATATTGTATGCAATTTACATGCTAGAATTAGAGCAAGTTGTGAGCTGAGTTTATGGCTGTTATATTTTACAATATGCTGACGATGCATGTCTTTACTCGAGTCATCAGAATACTAACACGGCAATTGAGCGAGTGAAAGAGGCAATGGACGATGTGTGTAGCTACCTTGACAGCCTTGGACTAGATCTTTCTGTTAAGAAAACCCAATTTTGTATTTTTGACAAAAGAAATGGTAGAAAGGTTAACTCACCTAAGTGGAATATAACCGTTAGAGGGTGCTCGATTTCTAATGCCGAAATGGTCCGGTTTCTCGGTGTTGATCTCCACACTCGTATGAGCTGGAAGACTCACATTGAGAAAATTGACAAGAAATGTCGTAACGCACTCAAAACAATCAACTGTCTGAGACGGACTTGGTGGGGTGCAGACCCACTATTGCTATTAAGAATATATAGAGCTTTAATTAGATCTAGGTTGGAGTATGGTGGCCTTATTATTTTTAATTTAACTAAGTCGGAGAAAAGTAAACTTGACAGAATCCAATTTAGAAGTCTAAGAGCAGCCTGGGGCTACTCCTCGTCTACACCGTGCAATGTAATTCTAGCTGAGGCAAAAGAGCCCCCGCTTGATATCAGATTTAGATATTTAGCCTCAAACTTCTTGGCCAGAGCAGCATCTAGAATTGATCACAAGGTTTTACTCGTTTTACAAGAGGTGGCAGACCTGGAAGATACTCCAACCCTAATTAACAGAGACGGCCGGGTCAACCTTGTCGTTAGCTTCCGCGAAATTGACAAATACAGGCATTTGATTATGTCATCCAACGGTCCACTATGCTATGAGTATGGATTCGAATCAATTATGCATCACCCGCAGGTATCATTCGATGAAGGAGAGGAAATTAACGGATCTAAAAGGTGTCAGGAGCTATTTAGAGACATCTTTGACGAGTTTTTGACAAGTTGGACTTGTATATTCACTGATGGTTCTAAAGATGATAAGGCCCCATTTGGGGGATTCTCTGTCGTCTTACCTTTGGAAGAAGTGGAACTAGAATTTAGAGCTCCCAGACAAGCTTCAATTTTCACCCTAGAGGTAATGGCTATTTACCACGCCCTTAAATTTATCGAGCAATCTCCGTTCAGATGTTTTGTAATTTTTTCAGACTCCAGGAGTGTACTTCAAGCCCTGGTGTCTGACAAAATGGTGGGTAAAAAATCCTATTTAGTATTTTTGATCAGAGACCTTCTTAGAAAGTTAGAGATAAAAGATAAAAACGTTAAGCTTTTTTGGATCCCTGCACACTGTGGTATCATCGGTAACGAGGCAGCCGATAGAGTGGCTAAGAGGGCTATTTACACCGGTAGAGATACTTCCCTTCTTCTCCCTGCAAGCGATTTTAAAAAACTATGGAAGGATAGGATGTGGTCTGAATTCCACGAATGGTTCATGTCTTCGAACATTGATAAGGGTAACTACTATCGTAATAACTTCTACGCTAACACGTCCAAACCATGGTTTAGTAAATTTAGTTTAAATAGACGCTCAGTTACTTCCATCAACAGGCTTCGGAGTGGTCATCACTCGTTGAATGTTTGCTTATTTAAATATGGTATTGTACAATCTCCATCTTGTAACTGCGGTGATGCGGATGAATCCCCGAACCACATTTTATTTCAATGTTCTTTGTATGATTGTCAAAGAGCCGAGTTTATCAAAGCATTAACCATATTTTTGGGCCATGCCCCTTACAGCGTAGAATTTCTTTTAGGAAACTTGAGCCAGGGAAACTTGAATCAATGATTGTATGTTTAAGTACAGTTGTATAGAAATATTTGTTTTGTTACGTTATTTTCACTTCATATTTATGTTTAGTTTCAAACTGAATTGAATACTATTTTTAACTTTGAATTGCATAGCTAAGTCTCTAATTAAGACTAAATTGAATATGTGATAAACTATATTTAAATGTTATCATGATAATGCTACTTAGTTGGTTCGCGCAATATATTAGTATAAAAATGTTAAATTTAATCTTATTCTTATTAGTAAAGTTTAAAATATTTAAAAGTGACCATACTGTGATAACCTATTTATCTAGTTTATCCATAGATTTCTATTTAACTTTATTGTATGTTCAGACTCAACGATTATGTATATTGTAAACCTCTATTATATAAACGTTGGCTACATTGGTTAAACCAACGCCTTGTATTTTATATTACTTTAAAAAAAAAAAAAAAAAAAAAGTTATTATTATGATGATTTTAAAAGCATCTGGAAGGAAAAAATTAAACGTAAATTTGACCTATGGTGTTGCAGTACTGGCAGACAAAAAGGAAAAAACTATTTCACCAAGTTCTATACAGGTAACGCACAACCGTGGTTTCAAAATTTAAATTTATACGGAAAACTATTGTGTCAATAAATAGATTAAGGAGTGGTCACACTTCCTTAGCGGAGAGCCTTCACCGTTTTAAAATCGTAGATTCAAGTCAGTGTCCTTGCGAAGAATCTATACAAGAACCTAATCACGTTTTTTTTTAGTGTAAATTATTTGATAACGCTAGAACTGCTCTTCTAAACGATCTCTTAAAAGTTAAATATTTCCCCCCTTATAGCATCGAGGCCATTCTTAGCGAGATGAATCCTGCGGCTGTGATACCGATATCAAAATTTATTAATTCCATCGACATTAATATCTAATTTAACTTGTTTAATATATATCGTTCTTTTTGTTTTACTACTCTAGAAACATTTCATTTCAAATATTAGTGCCTTTCTAAAAATAAATACTAGATGGAGCTAGAGTATAAAAATTAATTTATAAGTGTTATATTACTCCTTGAAGGAGCCTTAGTAGATAAGTAAAATTATATGTAACTCAATGTAAACACGGCAGAGTGAGCTGTTGCTCGAGCCTTTTCTTATATTTTCAATAAAAAAAAAAAAAAAAAAAAAAAAAAAAAAAAAAAGGGAT